TAGCCATACACATGCGAGTTGGAAAGTCCTTTGTCGAGGCAACCGAGGCTGTCCAGACCGGCATCGAAACATACCAAGAAGCCATGGCGCGAGAGATCCTCCCAAGCCCGAAAAAGCCCTTGAAACGTAAGCGTGACAACGAGGAGCATGAAGCGCGGCTCTCTGGAACCAAAGCAAGAGCAAGGGTTCGCAATGGCACTGCCCAATAGACCGGCTTATTTAAAATATACTTTTTGATTTGCAGTCTTGATCATGATCGTTTCTCAAGCTCCGCATGTACCCGGCCCTGACTGAGTTTCTTAAGGTCTTGCACTGGGGATCCGCTAGCGGTTGGTGGGGGTTGAGCTGTCGATGGCCATATGGAATGCCCGGTCGAAAATGATCCTTCTTCTCATACCACCGCATCTCAAGCGTCCAAACAGCCCATGCTTTGGGATAGGCAGAGGAAAAAGAACTTGTTCACCAGCGCAAACATGCAGAGGTTGGATTTGGAGAGAACTTCGAACGAATTCGGAGAAAGGAGTCCTTGGGGACAAAATCTTCGAGGGCAATGAGGAAGCCCGCAAAAGAAAAGAATACTTTTGAAGCTTGTCCCACATAGGCATGGTGTTCCCTGTCAGGATGTCCTTCCTCTGTTGGGACGATGTAGTGCTCTCATCACGGTTTTCAGCCTTGCAAGATGCATCAAAGGGCACCTCGGAACTGAGGCCGGAACATAACCGGATGGAGGAGCTCGGCTGTACCTTGTCGGCTTGATCAACTGCTTTGGCCCTCAACTGGTGGTCTCTTCGGCCCTTGCTTGGGCTTCTTTGGGAATCGAGGCTTCTTCTTCCAGGCATCCTTGTCCTCCGTCTTCTTCGTTCGGAGGCCCTTGTTGATTGCCTTGACCCTTGGGATGAAGAGACTCCTGCCGGCGAGAACTGATAAGGTCGACCTCCTTGACATCACCTGTTGCCCACTCCTGTGGGCAGAGAGGTGCGAATGCTCGGAGCCTCGGATTTGTAGATGTCGGCCTTGAGGCGAACAGGCCCAGGCTCGGAGGAGGATCCTCCTGAAGGGAAAGGAGCCATGCCACATCCCACTTCATGCCATCCTGAACTGCCTGCTCGATAGCAACCATGGCCAAGGCCAGGTGCTCGGGGGCTCCCACATAGTCCTCGGCCATCATCTGATCTGCTACAAATGCTAGGAGCCACATGATCAGGCCCTGATCTCGATGCCCGACATAGCCTCCCTGCCTGTCGAGGTACTTCGTGAAGACTCCCTTCTTGAGGAAAGCATGCAACGAGGTTGGAACAGCCTCGGTAGGCCGCAGGCGTCTGAAGGCATTTTGATTCACCTTGAGGAAGAAGTCGCCCTTCCTGGAAGCCAGGTCGTTCATGAGTTTCTCTCGCTTCACAGTGCCCCTCATAGATAGGGAAGAGCTGGTAGACGTACCCAAATCGGGATAGCCATCTTGCGAAGCCAAGTGGGCCACCAGGTTGGTAAGTGCTAGAGACTGCTGGGCAAGAATATCTGTGACCTGAGCTTGACTCCTGACGTCTCTTTCACAGCTGCAGGCGCACAAGGCTGCTGATGAGGCGGAAGGCGAGGTCCTCCTCCTGTGATATTGGGCAGTGCCTCTGGGATAGTTGTTCTGCAAGAGCTGCTGTGGTCACTCTTTTGGGGGCCGCCGGAGCCTTTGGCTTCTTCTGCTTTGTTTGAGGAGTTTGCGGAACCGTCAACGCCTCCTCCTCTGCAGCTGAATAGAACTTGACCCTGTCTCCTCCCTCCTCGACCCAATGTTGAGCTGCTGCAAGTAGAGAGTTCGCTTCCGGCAGGACACCTGGATTGACTCTGAAGAAATCCACCAACAGAGTCTCGAAGTCCAGGGCAAGCTCTGTCCCATCCATCTCCTCTATCACTGCTGGATGGACCAATGAGGTCCTCCATCGCCGAAAAATTGCCGCCATCTAGGGACTCGTCGGGAATGAAGTCCAATGGCACTACGCGCAAAATTCCATTCTTCCTCTTCAAAACTGGGAAAATGAAGGCCTCCGGAGAACCAGTCTCGCCGCCCCCTGTCGTGAAGTCCAACCTCATGACATAGACTGCTGCGATGCCCTGGTCGAGGCTCTTGATCTCTCCTAAGGGTCCTAAGGGTCCTAAGGTCATAGAAGTCATTGTCCTGTCAGCTCAGGGAAGAGAACTCCCGCGGCAAGACAATAGACTTGGCCTTCTGCTTGAGAAGGGAAGGAACGAGAAAGTGATCCCTCTCCAAACTTAGCAAAAATCTTCAACTACTCGGCTGCTGAGTCCACTCGGACCGGATGAGCAAGACCAGGAGCACGAAGAATGATGTAGCAAGCAGCCTTCTGTGGAATCTTTGGCGTAGGCCGGGGCTTTGGGATCTTGCCCTCAAGGACCGCCTTCGCCCAACAACCTGCGTCCCACGCTCTCTGAGCTCGAGCCCGGACTTCTTCTTGAGTGCCTCCCAAACGACCACAGATGTCCAAACAAAGAACTGGTAGAGCCGGAAGAGCCCGAGCGATGGAATTGTAATCCGACCCCGTAGTCGGAGCAGGCCTGGTCCGGGTAGAGGAAGAGGCTTCGTCCTGAAGGAGTTCCAAGTCCCACTCTTGTATCTCCTCTTCTGAGAGCGCTGCAAAAGGAACAGCAGAGGCCCGGTTGACGGCAGTCTCGAGAGTGTCTGCGATGACTCGCACAGAAGAAGCAACAGCCTTGACAGAGTCAATCAGCAGGGCGATTGCGCTCATAAAGATACGCCGACAGGCGTAAGTTGGGGACTTGCTGAGTCCTCGAGTTGTGCACAGGTGGACCTGCGAAGGGAGAGGGCCGGTAGGAGTAGTAGAGCCAAAATCCAAGGAGGATAGTTGCCAGAGAGCCAACGCAAAAGCCGCAGATGAAAAGCAGGCTATGTAAAGAGGGCTCGAGGTGCAATGGGCGGGGCACCCTGACTTCTCATTTGTTCCCTTGGAGTCTATGTGCAAGCGTCCTTCGTCAGCTCAGGCCAAGGTGCTCAAGAACTTGAAGAGGATGTTGAGAGCTTTCGGTAGCTGTGAGGAAGCATTCGATCTTCCCGCAAGTGGCCGTAGACGACCTACCTTGATGGCTCTACTTGCAGACCTTTCAGATGTTTTGACCTGGGAAGGAGCAGGTGGAGATCCATACTTTCGTTCACTTGCTGGATCCGCTAGAGGACTTTCAGAACTAGCTCCTCGCAGTGGAAGTCTGGGACATGAATGGTCTTCTTTGGTTGCGTGACGCCCCCTTGCCTCAAGGTGGAGAAGACTTGGCTATGAGGTTCTTCAACTGCAACTGCTACAAGTCTGAGCTGGTCGACAGGATGATTGGTGATCGTCGTTCCAGGAACTTTGTAGAGGGCAGGCTTACGATAGCATCTTCAGGGCTCCCTTCATCTCAGTGTCTCCTTGAGTTGGAGGTCAGCGCACCTGCGCAGAGGCTCTCCATATGCTGTGCCGACAGGAAAGCTAGGCTTCTACCATCAATTCCGTGTGCCTCTGCAAAGAGCTTCTACAAATGCTTGCTTCCCTCTCGTCTCCAAGGAGGTGGTTAAGAACACGGAGGCTTATGCAGCTTGGATCTCCAGGAACTCCAAGAAAGCTCCCTATGACCGACTTGTGCAAGGTGATTGGCTCGGAAGGCAAGAGGAGCTTGCAGTGACTAAGAAGAAGAAAGAGGAGCCAGGTGTTTTTCAGATCTGCTTCAATAGCATCCCTCAAGGAGATCACCTAGGGGTCGAGTTCGCGACCGATGCTCACCGTAGTCTCTTGGTCGGTTTCTGGCTTGATGAGTGAAACAAAAGAGATGAGGTCAGGTGGGGAGAGGAGAAGCATCTGGCTTGGTCATTGATGACTTTTATTCCATCCCAGTTGTTCCAGCAGATCTGCCTGCGATCACGGCTACGGAGGCTTCAGAAAGCTCGCCCTCAGAAGCCGTGAAAGACATGCTCAAGGCCAAAAGCATCTACCAGGCTGCTGGTCTTCAAGGTTCTGATGACAAAGACATGTGGGATGCCTGCCACGCCAAGGTCGCCGGTGCTGAAGTTGATTGCTCCTCATCTACTAGAAGAAGAGGCGTGACGTTGGTTGCTGCTCCGGTCAGAAAGAGATTGGCCGAAGCATTGCACTGATGCTCTATGGGAATGTCTGATAGGAGGGTGGACTAGCTGCTTGATGTACAGGAGACCTTTCATGTCCCTCTTCTCAGAGGTCTACAGGTTGTCAATGGTGAGGAGATCTGTCAGGAGACACCAAAGGTGACCAAGCTTCCAAGAAAGGCAACTCAGGAAATTCTACTGGCTGCAGTGCTCTGTCCCCTTTTTGCTACGGACGTTGCTGTTCCCTTCCTGGACAAGCTGTTCTCTACAGACTCTTCAGACGCAAAGGGAGCAGTTGTTTCCAGGCTTGTTCCCTCTCCTTTGACAAGGATCTTATGGAGGACGGGGAGGAAGAAGGCCAGTTATGTGCGTATGTTGACAAGAATTGTGAGAAAGCTGGATTGGGACAGAGAGGAGGATTCTTTCTGCCATGTGCCAGACCTTGAAACACCTGACCGGCCTCGAGCATTCCGTTTCCACTTCATCGAAGTATGTGGCGGCTCTGGTAAGGTCACAAAGGCAGTTGCTTCTATGGGATGGGTTGTGGGCCCAGTGCTCGACCTTGATGCTTCAGAGCACTACGACCTTTCCTGTCTCAGGGTCATTGGATGGCTTTTCCATATGTTGGAGCAAGGCTGGCTGGATTCCTTTATCATAGAGCCGCCATGCACTACCTTCTCTCCTGCTCAGCGTCCAGCTTCTTGAAGCTACGATAGACCTAGAGGCTTTTGTCCCACAGAGAAGAAAACTTTGAAGGGGCGCTGAGAGCTCTCGCTTTGCTTGATCTGGCATCCGTTCTGAATACACCTGGACTTCTGGAGCAGCGTAGGAGATCAAAGATGAGGCGGTTGTCGGAGTGGCAGTTTTTGGTGCAGTCCAGGCGAGCTAAGGAGGTGTGGACAGCTTCATGCATGTTTGGATCCCCCACCAGAAAGAGTTCGTCTTCCTACCCACCAGTATGTCAGGAGATGGACTACATTGTGCTTGCCGAAAGACCGCAGTCTATTCCAGTTGCAGGTGCCTACACGAAGCCCTCAGAAGCATTGGCAAGGAGTTTCACAAGTCCTTGAGGAGCAAGCTGGCAAAGGCCAGGGGTGATGCTATGGAGTTGAAAGGACTTGAGTCCCCTCTTTGCAATGACCTTTTGCTTGGAGGTCGATGGATTGAAGAGAAGGTTTGGAGATGGAAGTCCCCAAAGCGCATCAACGTCCAAGAGACACTAGCAGCTGTCGCTCTCTTCAAGGACTTGGCAATCAAGTCCCCTAGATGCCCAACGTCAGCCTCTCCGCGCTTGTGAAAGGGAGATCTCCTTCCTATGGGCTCCGACCTGCCTTGAGGAGAGCAGGCGCCACGTTGGTAGCTGGATGCATATATCCTTCATATCATTTTGGGCCTACGCGGATCCTTCCCACCAGAGATGTGAGCGTGCCTGATCCTGGCCCTTCGATCTTGAGAGGAGGAGAGAGTGAGCAAGCTCTATTCGACCTCATGCAAGTTGCGGGTTTGAAGCGGCATCAGTCCAATTGGGCGCGGCTTTGTCTCTTGATCCTCCAAGGATTGCCTCCGTGGGTTGGGTCGAGAGAAAGTTGGCGCATCATCCGGCCCGCCGTGGCTACCTGCGTGTGGGAGGAATTTCATCAGGTGAGTGGGATTTTGACCCTGCACTTGGTTACCCTGGAGAAGGACCAAGCCTTTCCTATGCGGCCCAGTGTCCCGAGCACCACTTGCACAACCTTCCAGCCCCTCCACTTTGGTGCCTTGCTGACACCTGCTCTGTGGATTCTTGCTACCATGGATTGTGATCACAGCTCCCTGCCTGGACTTGGGCTTCTGCTTGTTTCTGTGCTGGCCTGTCTCTCTGGACTTATCATCCCGGGCAGCTCTTTCGTCGGTATGGAATTTGCGAGGAAGGATGGCCCGACCACTGCAGGTGGGGCCCGCTTCCTCCGTCGTCAGTCCTTCGGTTGGTCCGCCAAGGTTTGGTTCTTTTTCATGATCCTGATCCTCAGTGCAAGTACGGTAGACGTGGTTAGCCATGGCCCACGCATGCTTCCAAGGGACGCCAAAGCTGATTTCGAGTTGCCCCAAGGCCGACCGGTTCTGGGAAAGACACAGCAGAACAGGGACCGTTTGCTGGACCTTTTTGATGAATGGCTGAATTCGGAGGGCTTTTCATTACAGAAACTTTTGTTTGTGGGAGAGCCTGACATCGAGGCCATCAACTTGTTGTTGGAAAGGTACGGGCGACAGCTCTACAAAGCAGGACGCCCGTATGGGCACTATGCTGAAACCATCAATGGGGTTGCTGGGAAACGACCTCGGATCAGACGATCCCTACAACCAGCATGGGACCTTGCGTACGGGTGGCTCCGGCGGGAGCCACCCGTACATCATTTGGCACTTCGTTGGCAAGCTTTGCTTTGTTTGCTTTCAACCTCTTTGAGTTGGGGTTGGGCCAGAGTCGCTGGTATCATAGCACTTTCGTGTGGCAGCTTGGCAAGAATTGGAGAAGTTCTCAACGCGGCCCGGCGGGATTTGATCCTTCCATCGGACGTGACGTGGACTTCTCCATGGCCTACGGCCTGCTGCAGATAGCAGAACCAAAGACAAGATACCGTGCTGCCCGGCATCAAACTGCAAAGATTGACCAGCCACAAAAGGTCGTGGAGATCGGCTTCCAGAACCTGAGTTTCGGCTATGGCCTCAAGCAGGCCAAACGATAAGGGCTAGATTTCAAAACCTGCTAGCTGCATGTGGCTTGGATAGTCTTCCCAGGTCCATTTCTCGTGGAATAGACCTTGTGTGCAGGGTTGCAGGGTGCTGTCTTGGCTTTGGACACACAGAGTTGCAAGAATATACAAAAGTTGACTTAAAGATCAACCGTTTATAGTGAAGAAAGGGACACAAACATACAATGCGAAAACAACACGGTGTGTGGAGGGTTGGAAGCTTCTTCTTGGGATTCCTTGGCCATGTCCTGTATAACTGAAAGTTGGAAAGTGGTAAGCAAATACATCTCTTTTTAAGGGGTGAACAAAGGTCGAATATATACTAGAAAAGGTCCAGGGTTGTGCACGGCAGAATCAAACATATACATTGTCCCCACCTAATGTATGCCAATGAGTCCTTGATGTCCTTCTCGGTGTGATCAAAGGTCCAATCCAAAGACGCCATCAGATCCTTCAAGGCGCCAAACTCCTTGGCGCCCGTTTTCACCTGGTCTTTGCCGCCATGCTCGAAGGGAGACCCACGCTCAGTTCCCACAAGCATCTTCCTGTGCTTGTAGTACTTGCTGCCATCGTTGCCTTCAAACTCAACCACGTCACCGTCTGCAAGTGCATTGTTGAAGACCTAAGGTTGCCCAAGCAAACGCAAGAGCAATAGGCGCACACACACACATACTTGAGTTTGTTCAATATCTATTGAGTTCAAACTCTTGAGTTTGAGCAATGTCGTCTCTATTTGAGTTCATTCATAAATCAGTTCATTCATTAGTTCATTCATGCTGTCATCCACTTATTCTCATTCATGCACTCATTCGAACAACCATTCACTCATGCATTCATACATCCGTGCATTGATACAAACCTTTGAGCGAAACCGCCTTGGGAGAGGAAACCTTGAGAGTTCAATCCATCCACTCATTCATTCATTCATTCGTTCATTCATCCATTCGTCCATTCATTCATTCATTCATTCGTTCATTCATTCATTCATTCATTCATTCAAACCTTTGAGTGAAACAACCTTGTGAGAGGAAACCTTGAGGGTTTCATTTCATTCATCCCCCCCCCCCCGCTCTCTCTCTTTCTCTCTCTCTGTTAGGCTTTCTTTCTTCGTTTCTTTCTGTCTTTCTCTCTCTCTCTCTCTCTCTTTCTCTCATTCTGTCTTTCTTACTGTTTGTCTTTAGTCTAGTCTTTCTTTTCTCTGCCTCTTTCCTTTCGCTCTCACTATCTCACTCGGTTTCACAGAAGGTGCATGGAAAAAACGTCTGGCCTGGATGTTGTTTTGAAAAAAGGCCAAGCATGACCGAGCGGGACATCGGCTCTTGCTCGTCCCTGGCGTACTTCTGTTGATAGACTTTGTACGCCTCCGTGAAGAGCTTGGCCCCAGTGTTCATCGTGAATACTCCACTGTCAGACTTGTTGAACAACTGGTTGATGACGTTGGTGCGAAAATCTCTGGGAGAAGGACTCGACTTCGCGGTCTCGTCGTTTCGGTGGAGAAAATGCTGGGGGATCTGCCCAGCTGCGCGCATCCGCGCAAAATTTTCACCTTTCCCTTTGTCGCGCTTGGCCAAAACCATTGCGCCTGCTTCAATGTCATCGTCCTCATCCTGGGGAGAAGCCGTGGCGCTCTTGAGCTTGTGCAGGGTTTCATTCACGCTCGGCATCGCTGCCGGCTTCTTCTTCACCTGTGTGGGGTCATGCACAATGGCTGCAGGGCGCTTGGAAGCGGCTGGCATGTTCAAGTTCGACACACGCGCAAAGCTATCGATCAGGAACGTTCGTTCACTCTCTCAAACCAAGAAAGCTGTGAAGAAACAAAGGCTTGACTTCAAGGTTCAAGGAGACCAACAAAAGGCTTCAAGATTGTCATCAGGTTCCAACAAAACATGTCAATGTTTTTGTCAGATCACAACATAAAGTTTTAATGTTGCCAAAGTACTGATTCGAAGTTTGTTCGAAAGTTCTTCGAAACTTCGAATCGAGCGTTCGCAGTTTCGTTCGAAGTTTCTTCGAAGTTTATAAGTATGTACAAGTTGAAAACAATGTTATTTACAGTGTTTTTGACAAACTTCAATTAAAAACTTCGAACAAAACTTCGAATAGATATTGAACAAACTTCGAATGAACTTCGAACAAACTTCGAGGGAGTCCACTTCGAAGTTTCGAAGAACTTCCGAACAAACTTCGATTCATTCGTTTCCAGACTTGAAAAAGCTCATGAACAAATCATCTAGGAATAAGATCACACCAACAAACTCCCTCAATGTCTTTCAAGGTCCTCTCAAGGTTTTCTCAAGATCTCACAAGAGTCTGTCAAGCTTTTCTCAAGACTGTCTCCAAACAAAAGGGTTTCACAGTGTCACACATCATTCACGGTAAAGGTACAGGGCTGCTGTGCAACTCATTTTGTTTTCAACACCATGCAGGCTCTAAGTTGGCCGGAGTGTAAAAACCATAGAGCTATACAGTGCGACGATCCTAAAGCACAGTGCTC